CTCCACTCTTTCCAAGGGCATTATATTTCAACCCTGTAGGAGAATCACTGCTTCCCATCATCATTTAAACACGTATAGACTTTACTATTAAAACAAACTACTCTCTTGAGCTGTCTTATTTTAGCTACCACTCTGTAGTTTGCTTTCTTCCTGAAAAAAATTGAGTATACTTGACTCTACTTTTTTCTCTTCTATCAACTGTGGAAGCCAGTGTGATCTGGTATCTTACCCAACTGAAATTGTTCTACCAAAACCCTATAAATATTTAATTTCCTAATCCGATGGAACTTGCCCTCCTCCTTTAACTTAATTTACCACTTTGCAGCATGTGACACAGTTGATCTACTCCTCCTTATTGTCATTCTATCTCCAGTGGCTATCGCACTACTTATTAATAGTTCTGGTTCTCTTCTATTTACTCTGGTTTCTCCTGCATAGTTGTCTTCGTGGACTTCTCTTCCTCTGTTCTATGTCCCCAAGAATGATTTTATTCAATTCTATGGCTTCAGTTATACACTGACAATTCTTTGATCTATAATACTTGACTCCCAAATATGTTCTCGTATTCATACCACATGCTGAGCATCTGGAAAATTCATAGGCATCTTAGTTTTACTCTGTCTACAACTGAATGTAATGTTTTCTTTTTCCTAAATCAATTCCATTTCCTCTTTTCCTATCTCAGTGTATGATACCATAATCAACACAATTGAATAAGCTAGAAATCTGTTGACTCTTCTCTGTATATATGCAATAAATCACCATCTTACAGATTTTCTCTCCCTAATACCTCGATCTTGTTTCCTTTATTTCATTCCTATTAAGACCATCTTAGCTCATATCCTTATTTCTTGTCTAAATTTCTTCAGTGAGATCCTAACTTCTCTTTTTTTTTCCCAATCTCAACCTATAATTTATCTTCACACAATTCAAAGTGGTCCTTTAAAAAATGAAAACCAGATCTGGTGATTTCGTTGTTTAAAATCTTTGTTGATTTCCCTTTTCCACCAGGTTTAGTCCTTATTACTCATGGCATGGAGTTTCTCCTTGCTTCTCAAAGCCCTCTCTTTTCATACCTTCCACTCTTAACCTGCAGGGTCTTTGGAAAAGCTACTTTCATTCCATGCAGTCCAGAGAGATAACCTTGCTTTTTGGCTAGATAGGCACCTGGTCATCCTTCAGGAATTATTTCAGGCTTCACACTTCCTTTGAAGTCTTCTCTGCCCCTTTCCCCTTGGCTACCTTTCTAGTTCATGTGTTCCTTTTAATGTACTGTTATAGTACCTTTTCCATGAATAAAGCATATGTCACATTGTTTCATAATTATTTATACATTTATTTACCTCTCCTAATAGGTTGTAGGATCTGTGAGAAGAGGACTTCTGTTTCGTCTTTTGTCTCTAAATTCTAGCAAGCTGTATTTTTCTACTAGGAGCATAGTAGATTCTTAGTAACCTCACTGCATTATTATTTCTTATAGGTTAAACTCTTAATGAATGGAATCTTAGTAAGTTGGGTCCTTCTTAGGCTTTATTCAAGAGAATCTAATTTAAAAAGTTTCTATTTTCTTTGATGAGAGTCCCATGGCAGGAACCTTAGGAAGTCATACTGAGGAATCACTGTGTGTGTGTGTGTGTGTGTGTGTGTGTGTGTGTGTGTGTGTGTGTGTGTGTGTCTGTATTTGAGTGTGCATATGCACATATGTGTTCTTTACTTTCTATTGTGGACATTTTTAAACTTACATTAAAAAATAGCATAATGAACTCCCATATCCCATCACTAAACTTAAGCTTTTATGGACATCACCAGTTTTCTTCCATTTATTCTCCCACTCCTGTCCAATTTCCTGCCTTTTACTCCTACTTTTTTTCCCTGAATTATAAAGCATGTTTCAGGCATAATGTGGATTTGTCTCTAAATAATTTAGAATGCACCTATAACTGATAAGGACTCTTTTTTTGGTTTTGCTTTGGTTTGAATTGCCACCATAAACCATGGTGGCATTATTATATCTAAACTATTAGCTATAATATCTTAATATTATCTAATATATAATCTGTACAGAAGCTTCTGTCATCTCAAAGATACCTTTTTTTACAGTTGGCCAAGTTATGAGCCAAGCAGGGTTCACATGCTACATTCAGTCATTATGTCTTTTAAGTCTCTTTCATTCTCCCTCTCTTTTTGTTTCCATGCCATTGATTTATTGGAGAAACTGGGTTGTTTGTCTTGTGTTGCATTGATTCATTGTTTCATTAGCAGGTATGAAATGGTGAAGCTAATTCTGTCTTTATTTTTGTGTTTAACTGGAATTCTTCCATAAGGAATTTAATAAGGGTAACCTTGAAATACAGTTCTTTCAGGAATGGGAGAATAAATGCTTGCCTCTTTATTTGTAAATTTTTAGAGTAAATGAATTGGTGCTCCAGTAATCTCCAATAGGATTTTGTTATAATTGTTATTCTTATTATCGTTAGGAACTTCTGGTTTTTATATACATATGTGTTTAATCCAGTGCAGTTATTATTGCTTTTGATGATCAAGATATCCTTCTTTGGCTGAGCCCTTTCGATATGTACACATTAGTGTTTGATATTTTGCTTTCTCGTTTTCTCATATAAGATGTTCCAGAATCATTGTGTACATTTTCTGGCCCAGGCTTGGAATTAGCCATCTTCCAAGAGTCTTTTTTACTTTTAGTAGGAAGTGTTATTTAAAAACTGCAACTTAGGAACTAGGAATGTTCACTATTAAGAGTTATTATTTCTAGGCCTTTCAGTGGACCGCCAAGGGGAATAAATATTTTTTTTATTGTCAAGAGAAAAATTAATCCTGAATTTGTATTATTTCTTCTTACTTGCTTCTCTACTTATATTTCTTTTTTCTTTCACTGAAAAGCTTGTTTCCTAAGATTTTCATAACGTGAGCAAAAATACTTGCTTTTTTGTGCAATGTATATATAATAGCTTCAAAATAAGATCCATGAATACATATTGACATTTCTTTTCAGTTCTTTTTGTCCTTAGAATATATAATATATGCTGCTGGGGATTTACAATCAAAATACTGTGTTTTAAAATCACTTGATGTAAGTAAATCTCTCCTCGGCCTGGTTATGTTACTAAATTGGTGGGTAGGTTTGTTTCAAAATGTTTTAAATTTAGAGGAGTTGTTTTTACTTTATTCTTGTTTTTAATTTTGTCCTTTTTAATTATGAGAAACAATTATTTGATTCCAATATATAACTGGACACATTTACAGAATGTGCTTCCATATTAATTCTTCCCTCCCTTTGCAGATTTTGATCTTCAGTATGGTATCTGTAACCACATGTGGCTATGTAAATGTGAATTAATTAAAATTAAATGCAATTAGAAATTTATTTCAAGTAATAGTCACATTTCAAGTTCATATACTTACTAGCCATATATTGCTAGCAGCTACCGTATTGGACAGCACAGAGAGAACATTTACATCATTGCAAAAAGATCTGTTGTACAACATTTCTCTGTAAGTAACAAATTGATTTTTGGTTTATTTTTCTACTGTCCTTTAAAAAATATATGTTTTCTTTCTCTCCAGATTTCTTAAGCAAAGATAGCATGCTATCTACACTTTCCTGCCCTTTGAATTTTTCTCTTAATTACCTGTCTTAGAGATTACTCCTTAGCAGTATGTAGAGCTTTCTTATCCTTTTGTCCAAAGGTGCATACGACTCCATTGTGTAGATAGATGTGCTGGAGTTTATCCAGTCTCTTATTGGTAGACTTGAGTTCTTTCAAATCTTTTGCCATTATAAATGATGTCAAAATTAATAGCCTTAGCTTATATTATATTCACCAGGGTGTCTATGTATTTTTTTTTCTATTGCTGCGTAACAAATTCCTATAAATTTAACAGATTAAAACAGCACCCATTCATTAACTCACAATTTAGTAGGTCAGAAGTCCAGCACAGTATACCTGAGTTTTCTTTTCGGAGTATTATGAGTCCAAAACTAAGGTGTTGGCAAGGTTGAGTGCTTGTCTGGAGTCTCTAGGGGAGAATCTCCTTCATACTCATTCATGCTTTTAGCAGATTTCAGTTTCTTGCAGTTGTAGGACTTGAAGTGCCTTGTTTCTTACTGGCTGTCAGCCAGGGACTTTTAGTTTCTAGAGGCTGCTTTCAGCTTTTTGTCTTGTGGCCCCTTCCAGTTGAGCGATGGACAACTTTCCTCATAGCAAATCCTTTTCATTTTTTGAATCTCTCTGAATTTCTATTCTATGACCAGTCAGAGAAGACTCTGCTTTTAAATTGCTTATGCTGTTAGTTCAGACCCACTCCAGTAATCTCCTATCTTAAAGTCAACTGATTATGGATTTTAGTTATAACTGCAGAAATATCTCTTCACAGCAGTACTTATATTATGTTTGAGGCCTGAGAACCTTGGAGGCTGTGTTAGAATTCTGCTGCCATAGTATCTTTGGGATGGATTTCTAGAAGTGTGATTACTGAGTTGAAAGAAAAATTTATATGTAATATATACCAACATAAGGTATATATTGTTATTTTCCATCCACAGGGAGTAATCCTTTTGTATTCCTATCAATAAGCTATGATATTGCCTGTTTCCTGGTAGGCTGATTAAGAAGATTATGTGGTCAAATTTTAGATATTTGTCTGACAGGTGAGAAATGTTAATTTATATTTTTCTATTATGAACAGATCATCTTTCCCTATATTTAATGGCCATTGACTATTTATTATTCTCCTGATGATCCTTTCATTCATTTGCCTATTTTTCTATTTGTGATGTGATTTTTCTCCTCAATTTTAAGAGATTTTTTAGATTTTAGGGATATTAAGTCTTAACTTCTCATGACTTCATATCAGGTATCTACCAAAATCTTAGCCCCTGTGAACAGCTCTTAAGTGTACTTTAGTAAATTAAAGGCGAGTGATACAAAAAACTTTTTCTATAACATACACAATTTTCTATTGCTTTTCAGTTTCTATCACTTAATTTTTAGCTATATGGTAGTGGTATATTGATATGGTGTCAGAGAGAAAAATGCAATTTGAATTAGTTTAGGCAAAAGAGGAAATTTACTGACTTACATATACCTAACTTTCAGGAAAATCAGAGACAACTGGAAACAGGACTGCAAATGCTGTCAGGTCCACATCTGTCTGTCTCTCTACACTCTCCCTCTTTTTCTATTATTGCTTTCCATCTTGGCTTTGCTGAAAGACAAACATAGTATATATAGTGTTTAAGAGTTTGTATTCTGAAGCCAGACTGCCTGAATTAGCTTCTTGCTTCTTCCACTTACTACTTACATGACATATAAGTAGTCAGTGGACAAATTAGATCTCAGTTTTCTTTTTTGTTAAAAGAGGGCATTATACTAAGTGAAATAAGCCAGATATTAAAGGACAAATACTACATAATATAACTTATATGATGATTCTAAAATAGTGAAACTCATAGAAGCAGAGTTGAATGACTGGGAGTGGTAAAGAGGGAAATGGACAGGTACAGTCGAAGGGAACAAAGTTTTTGTTACACAAGATGAATAAGTTCCAAAGATCTACTGTACAACATAGTGCTTGTAGTTAACAATACTGTATTATATACTTAAATGTTCTTATCATGCACTTAATATTATAAGAAGGCAGGAGGAAACTTTTACAGGTGATGGTTAGGTTATGGTATAGATTGTGGGGTTTTTTCCACAGGTGTATACTTATCTCCAAACTTATCAGGTTGTATACATTAAACATGTACAGCTTATTTATATTAATCATACCTCAATAAAGTGGCTTAAAAAAACAGAGCAGTAATGTTTCTATTTCAGGGTTGTTGTGAAGAGTAAATGAATTTAGATCACTGCCTGGCAAACAGTATGTGCTATGTGTTTGCTGTTATTGTTATTAGTATTTTCTTGTTTTCCAGATGGTATTCTCCATAGGAGAGGACTCCATAGTCCTCCATTCTCCATGGGAGAGACTACCTGTTGCTCCATATTGTTATCTTCACCCTCTTCCCTTACGTTAGTTTCCTAGGGCTGCCATATCAAACTACCACAAACTGGGTGGCTGAAAACAACAAAAATTTATTCTTTCATAGTTCTGGAGTTCGGAAGTTTGAAATTAAGAAGCCATCAAGGCCATACTTTCTCCCAAGGCTCAAGGGAGGAATCCTTCCTTGCCTCTTCAGCTTCTGTTTTTTCTTTTTTCTTTTTCAAGTTTTTAGGTATTCTTTAATCCAGTAAAGTTGACACCTAAAATTAACCATCACAAGTTCACCCCTTGTCAACTTCCACCCATATGCATCTCCTTAACCATACTTACTCTCCGAATAAAGACAATAACAAGTCAGTATTTTTGCTTAACAATCCTTTTCTCAGAAGAGGTAAAATCCTTGGATGATGTATGTTTGCTCTTTTTTTTTTTTCTTTTTACTGTTGACTTATGTTTTTTATTTATTTATTTCAAAATATTAACAGGTTACAAATGTTTTGGTTACATGGATTGCTTTTGTAATGCTTGAGTGTTAATTGTACCTGTTAGGTAGGTTTTCGCCCATCCCTTTCTCCCCCTCCCTCCTGCTTGATTTCCACTGAATTTTACTTCCCTCTGTCCACATGTGTGCTCATCAATTAGTTCCAATGTAATAGTAAGTACATGAGGTGAGATTTAGGAGGTACAGATGATTTTTTGATACATCGATCAATTGTATAGTGGTAAAGACAGGGCTTTTAGTGTACCTATCATCCAAATTGTATATGTTGTACCCAATAGGTGATTTTTGATCCATCACCCTCCTCCTACCCTCTCAGGTTCTGAGTTTCCAAAGTTTATTATACTACTCTGTATGACCACGTGTACCCGTTTCTTAGCTCGCACTTATAAGTGAGTGCATGTGGTATTTGTTTTTTTTGTTCCTGAAATACTTCACTTCAGATAATGGCTTCCAGTTCCATCTCAGTTGCTGTGAAAGACATTATTTCATTCGTTTTTATGGCTGAATAGTATTCCATGATGTGTGTGTGTGTGTGTGTGTGTGTGTGTGTGTGTGTGTATCCCATATACCACATTTTTTTTAATCCACTCATCAGTTCATGGGCACTTAGGTTGATTCCATATCTTTGTGACTGTGAATTGTGCTACAATAAACATACAAGTACTTGTATCTTATTGATATAATGACTTCTTTTCCTCTGGGTAGATACCTAGTAGTAGGATTGCTAGATTGAATGGTGGGTCTACTTTTAGTTCTTTGAAGAATCTCCTTCCTGTTTTTCATAGAGATTGTACTAGTTTACATTCCCACCAACAATGAATAAGCATTTTCTTTTCACAGCACCCACATCAACATCTGTTTTTTAATTTTTTAATAATGGTCATTCTGACTGGGGTAAAATGGTATCTCATTGTAGTTTTAATGATTAGTGATTATGAGTGATGACATTTTTCATATGTTTTTTGGCCATTTGCATCTCTTCTCTTGTAAAATGTCTATTTGTGTCTTTTGGACTGGCTTAGTTTTATTCACAGGCTAACCAATCACAAGCCACTGCTCAGCCTTCACTTGCCTGTTTCTTAAGTAAAAGGGGTCAGATAGCACAAACAAGTCTATTGGGATGATTATAAACAGAGTAGGCACCCAAGCATGTCTTTATTTATATAGACTTGATACTCTTCTTTGTTTTTCCAGTATGATCTCAGTGTGGCCTGGTAGTTTATTGAAAATATTCTCAAGCAGAACAATATATTTTAAAAAGACATTGAGTTTTTGTCTATTTTTTGTAAGTCCCAGGCCTTACCTGCACTAGCTTGTTGCTGGGAAGTTGCCTCTTGATTTAGGAAGCTTGATTCCCTTATTGACACACGTTATGGTGCTTATAAACTGAAGCTCTCCATAAGGCAGGCTTCCCAGGAATTTTATTTTCCTCCGTAAGTGGTGATACATCAATGTAATCTTCTTTGAAGAAGAAATTATTTACTGTAACATTTGTTCTCTGAAAATGCATTATCATTGATAGATTGCTGCAATCTACTCTTCCATTAGCTTGTTGGTAATACAGTCTCTATCATTTTTATTCTTACGATATCTAGTACTTAGATTCAGAACTAGAACTTCAGAGTTTCACGGTGTTCCCGGCTATCAAATAGTCTGAGCTTTGCATTGTGTTCAGATAGCTGTGCAAATTACAATCACCTATGCTGATACTTTGGTAATAACGAAAAACCTATAAGTAATCCTTTAAGAAACTACTATGCATAAAACTAATTGGCAGCCCCTCTCTGCTCAGGTAAGAGATTATTAATACCTAATCAATTCTAGATTGTTCTGTGAAGATTAACTACAGGTCATTTCTTAAATGATAATGATTGTTAAACAACAAAAATATCTATGTATTCGAAGAACGACATAGCAAACAAGTTTCATTGTCATATCTACTGGAAAGACTACTTAATAGTATCCATGGGCCTTGGCAAGTCAAGAAGAGCTCTGTGGCTCCTTCACTGTAGCTAAATCAGAACAGTGAGAGTGGAGAGGTTAGAGGGGAGAGAGAGGGAGAGAGTTGGGAGGCAATTAATGAGAATGACTATGTTGCTGGGAATATGAATATGAGTTGCTTAGCTCAGGTTCTATTGTGATGTTTGAAGCAAAGAGTACCCAGCTAAGTAGACAATGGCAGATCATTTTAAAATAACAATCTTTTTATTCATTGTTAGGTATTTTATTGATATTTGCTAATTTAAACTCTTGTGCTGATATTATTTACATTTCTATAAGATAATTTATAGAATGGTAAATACATTCTTAAGTTTTGGGTATAAATTTTTAAAAGGTAAGTTTACACAAAATTGAGGTTTTGTATATTTTGATTAGTATTTTTAAATGTGATTTTGAGTTATCCATTATTTCCTCCTTCTTAACAAACTCATTCCCTTGCCTCTTATTTGTTTGATGAAACGGTCTTTGTATCATCATCCACAAAGACTTCAATAAATAACATGTGACTTTACCCCTGGCAAAACTTGACTTCTTTTGCCCTGTTGGTCACAGAAATGTCTTGAATTTAAACTCACTGGAGGGTAGCAAGTTTCCTAGTCAGGAAAATGAGCAATTAGACAAGTACTTGTCTGTGATAAATTTCTTAGGCCTGGACCCAAGGATATATGTAAAAGCAGGGCATTATAGAAAGAAAGCCTTTTAGAGGGTGCTCAAAATTTTGTGGTAGGGTCAAACTGTCAGTGCTACGGACAGCTGGTGGCACCTAGGTCATCAAGTTCTCTGTGCACTTGCATCAGTGGTTTTGAAGCCTGGTACCACATTGGAACATCTTGGGAAGCTTTTCAAAGAATATTAATGCCAGAATCCCACCCCCAGGATTCTGACTTAATTGGTCTTGGATACAGCCTGGGCATCTATATGTTCTTTTTAAAGTTCTCTAGGTGCTTCTGATGTTCAAGCAGGGTTAGAAACCACTGATTTGTATGAACCAGAGAATTTATATTAACAAAATCTCAAATAATAACTAGATAAAAATATTCAGATCCACTCACTGTTCATGCTTCCCAATTGTGGATTTCATGTTTGTTTTTCAAAGTAGTTTACATTTTTGGCAGTTTTATCAATATTTAACACACCGTATAAGCTTTCTACCAATTCCAGAGTGGAATATAAATTAGTGATTTTCCATTATAGCTGAATGTTAGATTCATTTCAGAAACTTTTACAAATCCTAATGTAAATCCAGGCCACACTCAGCCCAGTTAATTCAGAGGCTCTGGGGATGGGACCCCAGGCATTATTGAGGTTGGTTTTGTTTTGGCTCCCCAGGTGATTTCAATATAAAGCCAAATTTGAGAACCACAAATCTGAATAAATATTTGTTGTCTTAATTTTCTTTAAATGGCTTCAGTTGGGCACTGTCTCACTCTGACTCTCTTTTTCAGGATATTATTGATAGACTTATAGTTTTGAATTCTGAAGCTAAGATTCGTTCATTATTCAACTATGAACAATCACATATCTTTGGCCTAAGGTAAGGTACTAAATTTTACTTTAGATATTATATATGTTGCA